TTTCCAAGCCGAACAGCCAGTGCTGTCCGAAGACGTTTCCATGGTCATGTGGCCGGCATGACTAAACGCCAAGGCGCATGGAACACTGTTAACCTTCCCACCGAAGTGGTACCTATTTATCTACTTGCAATTTCTTGCTTTCGAGCTGCTAGGCTGGCAGGAGCTGGGGCCAGAGACGGGGGCTCAATCCGTCACGCGGCACTCGGGTCTTGAACTGCTGAACTACCGACCTTCCGGTCTGCAACTGAGCATCTTAACCACTTGAGCCACCGTGACCCCACATTCACAATTTCCACCAGCCAAAAGAGTATTTACCTTCATCCCTGGCACACTGCCTGAACCTTAGGGAGGTTCGCAGCCTGCTCATTCCTCTGACAGTGGCTGTAGTCAAGTTGGGAACCACCTGCCAACCACAATCCCACTTCCTTGAAACATGGGGCAGGTGCCACATCAGGGAACCGTGGTTAGAAGAGCCACAAGGAGCATGTCAAAAAGCCACATGTGACTCCTGATGCCATCAAGTATCACTGGTAGCATATTATAAATACCACACAAACTGAGTGGAGTGTGCCACTTTTGATGTGGATTCAAACTTGAACACAGACTTCTTGGATGATTCTGAGATAGTGAATTGTCTCTATCAGCTCCTAAACAGCACTGGTTGTGCTTAAAGCCCATTGAAATTCATTGACAACATACACATGTTTTCCATACAGAAGATCACAGGCATAGTCCCTGACATCTCCAGGATAAGAAAGATCCAGTTCCAAGAAATGATTCCTGTATGCAACCATGGAGAACTGCTCCCTTTTGTTCATGGTCCACAGGGAATCTTGTCAGTTTAGTCCAAGTGCTGTTCTACAGCATTTTAGTTTAAATGGTAAGTTATTATTTGAACCTTGAGTAGGTAAACTGTTTATAGTGCTACTGTAAATTGTTGAATTTGCAGAATTAAATACAATTTCAATGGCTGCCAACCAGTGTTAAGAATTTATTTATTTATTTATTTCTTGGGATTTATATCCCGCCCTACCCATACGGCCCAAGTTCAAGCTCTCCTTAGGAGAACGATCTGGAGAAGAGAGCAACAATCCTGTTTTGACAGGTATTTTGTGATCAAACACACACTCTGCGTCTTTTGTTTGACAGCAAAACAAGAGGGCTGAGCCAGTCAGTAAGACAAAAAAAGGCAAAGACAAATGCCAATGTTGCAGTGAAAACACACTACTAGCTAGGATTTCTTCAGCGTTCCTATCAATGAGCTTTCATTTTTCCACTGTACTACTGGCATCTGTCTTTGTCTTCTTTCATCTTTTGACACCAGTTAACATAATTTGAGAATCAGTTCTGCAGTCCTAATGGTGTTAGCTCTCACCACAGTCATTCCAGGTAAAACACATCTGGAACTGGGCTGCAACCGAGCCCTACTGCCACTAAAACACTAACCCTACAGAACCCTGTGCTACGGAAATGTTCGGTTATACTCACTGATATCACACAATTCTCCCTCCCAGCCATTCTGACAGAAGCATCGAAACGAGTCCACTTCGTCTATGCAAGTCCCACCGTTCTGGCAAGGTTTCCCAAGGCAATCATTGATATCTATGGATAATAATAAATAATTGTCACTAGAACTATTTTAGTACAATGAGGCCTTATCTATTTCACTGGGTACATTAAGAAAACTTCTGCTCAATAATCAGGTGCATTCTTGCAGTCTAGCTCAGTCCCTTGTACATCCTCTCTGCTGATATTCTATTTCTTCTCTTCATTCCAACTTTCTCCCCAGTGAGGACCTGAGGTGGTTTCCATTATTCTCCTCTCCTCCATTTTATCGTCAAAAACCTGTGAGGTTGGTTAGGCCGAGTGGATGTGACTGGCCCAAGGTGATGCACAAATCTGTGCCCCCTGTGTGCTCCCGGGGCCAAATAAGGAACACACGATTGGAGCCCAGGGAGTGTTTATTGCAATAATCAGGAAAATACAGGACTGGAGACCTTGGCACCCAGTAACACCAAGCTGTATTCTGCCCCAACCAGGAAGGGCAATAGGTCTTACACCCCAAATGACATCACAACAATTTGCACAGAAAGAAATCCCTAATTGGTGTCCAACAGGTATCATCACCAGAGCATCACTTGATTGGCAAACCCCTATCTGGATCTTAAGTGTCACCCAGCAAGCTTTCATGGCATGAGTGGGGATTCGAACCTCGGCCTCATACATCCAAATCCAACACTCTAACCACAGCACCATGAAGAAGAAGAAGAAGAGACTGGATTTATACCCCACCCCTTCACTTGGAGTCTCAGAGCGGCTTACAAACTCCTTTTGCTTCCCCTCCCCACAACAGACACCCTGTAAGGTGGGTGGGGCTGAGAGAGGTCTGACACAAACTGCTCTTTTTCAAGGACAGCTGTGCCAAAGCTTGTGACTGACCCAAGGTCACATCAGCAGGTGCAAGTGGAGGAGTGGGGAATCCAACCCGGTTCTCCCAGATTAGAGTCCGCGCACTTAACCACTACACCAAACTGTGTCCTCTCTTGTAGGATATTCTCTCCACCAGGGGGGTGGGGTTAGATTGGATTGGGTAGGCTACCATGCTCTGGTAATTCTTTAGGGAAATTGTTACCAGCATGGGAATGGATTACTTATTTGGAAAATCCGGGAATTGTTTTTCAAAGCTATTCTTTGTGCTGACACTTCATGGGGTAAAGATCGCTTACTCCTTAGTTCTATTTGTTCAGATTGGAAGATACGGGTCAATCTGTAATGGGTTGCTAGGTGTGGATTACTGCACAGGAGTTCTTTTGGGAGGGGGGCAGAAGAATTGGACAGGAGGTCTGACTGCTATCTTCTACTCCTACTGTTAGGCATGCATCAGGCAGATGACTGACATCTCACAACAAAATTGGAACCAGACATATTTTAAATGGGTAGAAACAAGGCACAGTTCCTTTAAAAAAATATTTATTTTCAATTTTCAACAAGTTTTTTCCGTTGGATAATGAACTGGCAGTTACCATTTTGGGGGGCTTAAAAGGCACAGTTCCTTTTAAGTTCCCCCAAATGGTAGCTGCTAGGTCATTATCCAATGGAACGAAATAGCTCATGAATGAATGGTCATAATTTAAATATTTATAGGACACAGAAGCTGGTTGTGACCACTATCTTACGGCACTGCCACGGTTCACAGAAATGATCAGTCGCAACCAAGCTGTGAAACCTGAACTAATGACTTAGAAGTGAAATCGCCCTCGATCCCCTTAGGAATCTAAGCTCCCGCTCCTAATACGTTTCCAAGCAAAGTTCCTCAAACACCTAGCTTTAGAGTCAATTTACGTTTAAATGAGTTGTTTTTCTCCCACTTACTTTCATGACAGTATGTTCCGATAAAGCCCCTATCGCAGGCGCACGTGAAGTTCCCTCCCGGTAGACTGATGCAACGTCCATGAGGTCCACATACACTGGACGAGATGAAGCGAACGCCTTTCTGGGTAGCGTTGTTGAAAACCTCAATTGTACAGCTGTCTATTACTGAGAAAAGAAAAGGCAGCTGGAAATTCAAAAAGCTCCCTTAGCGACTCTCTGCATGGCTACTTTTCAGTTTTCACCTCTTAGAATGAAGTACAGTAAAGGGGCTGCTATCTGGCGCTCACGGGGAAGGGGTGGGGGTTTTTCTGGTTAATCAAATATGCTGGGTGCTCAAGCTTACTGCTCTGCCTCTATCCAGAGGAATCTGCAGCCTCCAGGCCCAGAGAGACCCTACTGCCCAAACCACTGAGCCACCCTACACAGCAGGCAGGTGAGCGGGCCGGCTGCCCAAGAGCCCTCCGGCAAAGCTGGTTCCTGAGAGCTCGGGGGCAGGCTAAAGACCTCTTAGCATGAAGTACAGTAAAGGGGCTGCTATCTGGCGCTCACGGGGAAGGGGTGGGGAGTTTGCTGGTTAATCAAATATGCTGGGTGCTCAAGCTTACTGCTCTGCCTCTATCCGGAGGAATCTGCAGGAAGCAAACCCCACCCCATTGGGAACACTATGGTGACAGCCTCCAAGCCCGGAGAGACCCTACTGCCCAAACCACTGAGCCACCCTACATAGCAGGCAAGTGAGCGGGCCGGCTGCCCAAGAGCCCTCTGGCAAAGCTGGCTCCTGAGAGCTTGGGGGCAGGCTAAAAGAGAGGGGGAGAGGAAGCACCTAAGGATGATGTCAGTTGGCAGCGCCAGATGTCGGAAGCCTAGTAATGGCTAGAAGTGGCAAAAATGGGTTGCACGCGTGCCCAGAGACGCAGGGGCATGGTCGACCAGTGGGACCCCAAATAACTGAGTGTTCTGAATAACCCAGCACCGGACCACAAAACACTTCCACTGCTAGATTTGAATCCAGTAGCACCGTAGAGACCAACAAGATTTTCACTTCTGAGAGTCAAAGTTCCCATCATCAGATACACGTGAAGGGAACGCTGACTCTCAAAAGCTCGTGCACTGACACTCTTGTTGGTCTCTAAGGTGTGACTGAACTAGGGTTGCCAGGTCTGGTGGGAAAATACCTGTAGACTTTGGGGGGTGGATCCGGGAGAGGGCGGGGTTTGGGGAGGGGAGGGGCCTCAGCATGGTGCGATGCCACAGAGCCCACCCTTCAAAGCAGCCGTTTTCTCCAGGGGAGCTGATCTCTGTCAGCTGGGGACCAGTTGTAAAAGTGGGAGACCTCCAGGCCACACCTGGAGGCTGGCAACCCTAGGCTGGACTCAAACCTCACTATTCTACAGCAGATCTACACGGCTGTCCTCTGAAACAAAGCTTTACTGCATTTCGTTTTTTTTAAATATGTTTTTGTAATTTCGTAGGCAACGTGCAACACTCCATAAGGAATGTTTAGCAGGCAGGTCTGAAACTAACGAAAATCCGGATATAATTAGGCGTCAAACACACTCGGGAAAGTTTTGTTTTGTAAGTAGGGCCTAGGGGTAGGTGAAGAGAGAGGCAGTGACTTCCTTATGTTTTCTGCATCGGGAAGTTATTACATTCCACCTTTTCCCTTTTGCGTGGAGCATGTCACTTCTTGTAAAGGAAAAAAACAACACGGAGCAATCTCGCTTTTTGCAAAGCGACAGTTTTCGTTTGGCTTTTAGAACGCTTGACTATTAGGAAAAAACCCCGTCTCTGCAAGACAGAGATACCTTTGCAAGAATTATTTTTGCAGTGGTCCTTGAGATGGGAGCAGTTCTTTCCATCGTAGTCGTCATGACAGGCACAATAATAATCTCCCCTCAGTTCATAACATTTAGCACCATTTTGGCAAGGATTAGGCTTGCAGAGGTCGATGTCAATCTGTAACGGATTTAAAAAATAAATTACAGGATAAATGTCCCGACGTATGCTGAAGAGTTAGGTGTAGAGTCCTGAGGATAAATACTTCGTCAAAGTCATTTCAGCTTTTACAAATTAGCTGTAAGGCGCTTACAGGAATGCAGCACTGCAAGGAGAACATAAAGAGTTTTGCTGCTCAAATTAAGAAATCCAGCATGGTGTAGTGCGGGGGTGTCGAACTCATTTGTTACGAGGGCCGGATCTGACATAAATGAGACCTTGTTGGGCTGGGCCATGTGGGTCACAAAATGTAATGCCAGGTAGCGGAGATATAAACTTTATAAAGGACACAAACACACAGAGTTTTTTTCTTCTTAAAATAAAAACATGCTTAAAACATTAGCTCTGTAAACTGCAAACCTACTTTTGATTTATTGACATTCACCACAGAAATCTCATGCTCAGAGTTCTGAGTCTAGGACACGGGTTAAAACATGAAATGGCTGAGTGATTAAGAGAGCCTGGCGAAGCAAGCTATGATGCAGCAGCAGAACTGGAAGCAGGAGATGGCCAGTTCCACTGTGGGCCTGATCCGGCCCCCGGGCCACATGTCTGACACCCCTGTTGTAGTGGTTCGAGCATCTGACCAGGATGTGGGAGATCCATGTTTGAATCCATGATCTGCCATGGGAGCTTGCTGGGTAATCTCTGGCTAACCTACCTCACAGGGTTGTGGCGAGGATAAAATGGGGAAGAGAATGATTTAATCTGCTTAGGGTCCCCAAATGGGAGAAAGCTGGAGTATAAATGAAGGAAATAAAATGAAATCTGGGGGCCACTTTCAGATTTGTCTTAATTTGATCCCTCTACCTTAAGCCACACACGATTTTCCCCCCTTAAAAATTCCAACCCATTGTCTTTTAAACCCATTGTCCAATAACCTACCTAACTTATACATGAGCTATTACCAGCTGGCGCTCTGCTCCATGTGCCTTCAAATAAGGACGGCAAGCAGGCCCATAGCTACAGTAGGGCATTTCCGGGCCTGCCCCCTGACTTCCTGCCAAGGCCCCCTGACTTCCATGCAGCCCCCAGACCCCCCAACTCTCTGGGCCACCTGGAGGACTCCCCACCACTGCCCCTTCCCCAAGCGCAGCTTGCTGCCCAGTGTAGGCAAGCAGACTGCGAATGCTGCAAAAGTGAGTTTTAAAATTTTTATATTTTTAATTTTGTGACCGGCCTATTTAAAGCCCCCCAAAATTACAAAATCCTGGCTACGGCCCTAGAGGCAAGACTGGTTAGGATATGAAACGGCATTCTCAGTGGTAGCCTCAAATATCGGCGATTTCCTGCATCCGAAGATCAGTGAAATCTGCTTTATTCGAGAAAGTGATTTCATCCTATGACCTTTATGTTTTTAATGCTGTTTTTACAACTTTTAATTCTTGGCTTGTTTTTATCTGCTGCTGGATGCTCTGAGTTAATTTTGTGGACTCTGTCGATTTCTACTATGATAGTTTTAATACTTTCCTTTTAAAGGTTGTTTTTTGTGTTGCTCCTTTTAATGTTCTATCAGTGTAGAATGATTTTAGTGTCTGTTTCTTTACATGATTAGGTATATTGTTGCCTCAGGGAACGACTCTGGCAAATAGGATGGCACGAGACGGGTGATCCAAAAACCAATTGATACCACCACCACCTCCTTTCAGTCTTGTAGCTTGCATCTTTTTCTGTGCATTGGTACAGGTTGCTCTGAACCCTTCTCTGGACACTTCCAAACAAGAAACATTATTGCCTGCCTGCCTTCAGGCACACAGCTGCACTACTGCTGGAGCGCTTAGTAGAACTTCTAAGCAACCAGACGAGGCAGAGGTGAAAGCAACGAGGCTCCACCAGCCCCCTTTTGTCTCTGTACTTTTCAGTGAAAAGAGACTAAAGGTGAGGGGTGGGAAGAACGATGGCACTACACAAGGCGAGATTATGCTAACTACTTCGTGCCTGCATTGGAAATTAAGTCACTGGGCATTAAGGCACACAAAGGACTCATAGGGAATGTAATACCCTGGGAGCAACAGAACCTTGAAAATAGGCCGGTGGTGACCACCTTTGTGTTACGGTGCCAGGTCTTCAGAACATCCTCACTAGAGGTCTACCAAATTTCTTGGTTGTTAGCACTCACATGCCCAGCAGACATCTTTGTCATACCTTTGGCAAATCCCTCTTGACTATTTGCTTTGCTTCAGTTCCTGGTTACTTTAGGGTTGCCGGCCCTGTGCTGGCAAATGTCAGGAGATTTTTGGAGTGGAACCCAGGGAATGCAACATCACTTCCAGGCAACACTCTAGGAATCCCCCCGTCTCTATAATCTTTCGTTTAAAGACTGGGACAATTCCTAGAGTGGCATGGAGGATGTGACATCACTTCCTGGCAGTGCTCTAGGAATCTCCCCCCCCCAATCTCTATAGTTCTTAAGCACAGAGACTGAGAAAAATTCCTAGCGCATTACCATCAAACAATGCTTTTCCCCAGCTTCTTAAATTATCAAGAGTAAAGGACTAAGTGCAGGGCTGGGCGTCTGCCTGGTGACACTGGGTAATCAGCAAGTCTAGGTTACTCTGATTTCACTTTTTTGTTCTCACGTTAGGCTTATTGTCATGTATTTAGTTTTATATTGTCATTGTTTCATTGTTCACACTTAGAGAGTATAAAATGTTTCACTGTTCCCGCTTAGAGAGGATAAAATATTACATTTGTTAATCAAGTAATAATTCTAGAAACCAGTCCTGAAAATAACAAAATGTCTACAAGGCATGTTTGAAGCAGAGAATTTAACAGAGGATTGTTTCCACAAAGTGTTTCAAGTGGTATTTATATATAAAGACACTTTTAACTAATCTTTCCCAAATGCACATCCATCCAAACAGCGTAGGGCTGCCGGAGGTCACCATGTCTGCAACGGCTGTACAGAGGTTTCATTCCTTTGTCTTGGCTCAATATGCCTCCTCCAGTCACACAGATGCACACACTTAAACAGGTAGTTTAAAGCTGATTTGTTACTATGATGAGGATGAAAGTGCCAAAACTTAAACAAGCCTTCTACCATGTAAACCTTTACGCAGACACATCCTTTTAAGGAAGTGACTAATCTTAACATCGTGGTCTCGTGTCAACTAGGTTTACTTTAAGGCAGCATCTGTATGTGAGCAAGACAGACACAACAATACTGGGACACTCAGCCATTTCCACGTTTCCTGACTTGAGGGAAAAGAACAGCTTTCTAAAGGGTAGCTTGCCCTCACTTTTGCCATGGCTCTGTCAAATTTAAAAACCTTAGTTTTCCAACCCAGCTGAAGTTGACTCTCAGCCCATCGGTATTTTTAAGGGGGGGGGGAGCATAACCGTGGGCAGAAAAAGTCGAGAAAGGTTTTCCACCATGCGCCCTCCATTTGTCCCCGACCATTACTTTAAGATTCCCTTTTACTGTTCAGCTTCAGCGGTGGGATTAAGGGCTTTTGGAGAGGTGCATTTCCTGAAATCTTAGGGGCACGCTGCCAAATTCTTTCAACGTTATTCATCTGATCATCAAAAAAAAAAAACCCTAAACTGTGACAGGAGCCAGAAGTCAGTTCGCAAAAACAACCCTTGGGCAAGTAGCATCTTCTAATTTATGTTCCAATGTATGCGGCAAAGAACCCAACAACACCTTAGATCAGTGGTGGCGAACCTATGGCACAGGGGCCAGAGGTGGCACTCAGAGCCCTCTCTGTGGGCACGCGTGCCATCGCCCCAGCCAGGCTCAGACCATCATTAAAGTGTCGAATTCTCTGCCTAATAATTTTAAGTAAATGAAAGCATTTGGGATTGCTTTCCTTACTTGGTTTGGATCATCTTAAGTTAATATATGAGTTGTTTTTTCTAAAGTAAAACCTCAGTATTCAGGTTAAATTGCCGTGTTGGCACTTTGCGATAAATAAGTGGGTTTTGGGTCGCAGTTTCGGCACTCGGTCTCTAAAAGGTTCGCCGTCACTGCCCTAGATACATTCTTAGTTCGGTGAACCCAAACCTCATTAAAAAAAAAATGCAATCCGGCCATGAATCTAACAAAAAAGGAATGGAATCAAGGGCAGTCTAAAGGCCCTCAAAACAGCCTAGGAGTCATGTTAGGGAATGTGCATATCACCCGGTTCCTTACCAAGAGACTGAGTAAAAAAACTCAGCTCCCCTGCTCCTCCCATACAGAACAGTGTGAGAATTAGGGACAAGCCACACTGTGCAATATTTGGCAAGTTGGATCCAAGGAACCTGGACCAGACTCTTGGCCACAGAACAGCTGCAGGGGGACTGTCACTTTAAAAATCTGCAGGGGCCCCAATCCTGCTGAGAATTGTGACACTGGAGGGAGGAGTGGGTGTTGCCTCCCTACCGCCAATCCCATGCTGTTTCCCCAAGCCAAAATGGCCCTGCCAGGGAGTTATTTACATAGCTTTGGAGTGGCACATGTTCCGAATACTCCATGTGCAGCTTCAAAGTTATGTAAGTGACTCCCTTTCTGGGCAGTTTCAACTCGGGAAAACAGAACGGAGTGAGGGTGGGGAGGCAGGAGCTGTTCCTCCCTCCCACCCTCCTCTTTCAAGCCAAATCAGGCTCCTTCCCATTATTAAGTGACACTCCTGGCAGCTGCTGCGTGGCTGTGGCAAAAGGCAACTGGATCTGGAGGGCCCAGACTCAACTCACCAAAACTGAGTCGTGTAGTTTGGCCCTTCCCTTGCGAATGAGCCCTTGAGCACTAACTCCTCTGATGGCAGAGGTAGGGTGGCTTCTAGGCCCAATCTGCATTTGCTATGTAAAGCTGTTCCGTGCTGCTGTGGCACCGGCTTCCCATTTGGCTCAGTATAAAGCTCTCCTCTGCTGCATCAGGACACAAGCTGTTTAGGGAGAGTGCGTGAGAGAGGGGGGCTGGCCTGTAGCTAACATGGGGCCCACGGGGCCTAGTCCCCTAGTGTTTTTTCTGGGGCCCCTCCCTCCTGGGCTGACCCCAAAGTGCTCCAACTTACCACCTGCACTGTACTTTCATTTAATTAGCTGTTGGGCCCCCTGAGGCCCCCTCTCAAAGAATTCCCTAGCTACAGGGCTGGAGGGGGGAAGAGTGGCCTCCCAGGGGCGCCAACAGGGCCCTGCGCTGCATTGCGGGGAGGAAACGGCACCTCTGTCCCCTCCACAGAAAGTAAAAGGGGGGTGTCTTGGCAGAAGGGGAGGCGGGGGGGGGGCAGGAAAGATGGAACGAGCTGGGTAAAAAACACAAAACACCCAGCCGGGGCCAGGCAGGGCATTCTGGAGACTGCCCCAGGAAATAACAAATGGTTCAGGGGTGGG